TATCATTGATATTTCTGGCGAAAGTTGATCAAACAAGAAAGTATCCAATACAAAAGTTGTAGATCATGCAAAAATCTGCAACAGTAGAGGTCACTTTTTAAGATAACCTCAAAATTTCCCAGAAAAATGCGAAAAACAGGTTATTTTCGTATTATTTATTTTTTATTTCTAATTTCCGCAAAAATAATTTAATTTTGACGAAACTTGGTGAAAGTATACCTTTCTAAGTCTTACATAACCACATTTTTTTTTTGCATCTTTGTTCTTTTTGGTCGTACAGAAAAATAGATAATTACTATTTTTCGTCTTTAAAAAACCTACAAAACTCAGTTGAATAGTTTCTAAGTTATGGCCTTATAAAGCAATTAATTAACAGTCGGTCTACAGGACACGGAACGCTACCAATAGTGACGCCGATTTTTTTGTAGGCAGATTTCAACATATTTTATCATAATTCATTATTATTTTTCACTCAAACGCAATTTTGCAACCAGGAGAATTTTTTTTTTAAATCCCCTAGTTGCAGTATTAATTATGTCATGTGTCATATGTTTGGAAAGAGCATGAAAAGACCTTTAATTATAAACAACGGATTTATAGGCCACCAAAGCTGAATGTCTATTGTTAAACAATTTACGCGAGTGGCGACAAAAGATATATCGTCGTGACCACAATACGGAATAGTTACAGTGCCTAAATTGTCTAAGTTTATGGGAAATGATTATTCGTAAATAAAATGAAAACCACTGGGTTTAGGTATAGGGAAACTTTAACAAAGTGATGCGGCATTATGCAATTGCGATTAAAAAAAAAATGTATATATAATAATAGTTTGTTAATTTTATATTTACTACTCGTAGTATGTATTAGTCGGCGGTGATTCTAAATAATTCCAAGTCGCTTATTTNTGAAAACCACTGGGTTTAGGTATAGGGAAACTTTAACAAAGTGATGCGGCATTATGCAATTGCGATTAAAAAAAAAATGTATATATAATAATAGTTTGTTAATTTTATATTTACTACTCGTAGTATGTATTAGTCGGCGGTGATTCTAAATAATCCCAAGTCGCTTATTTGTGACGTTGGCGTTTGGGTCACCGTCCGACTGGTATTACTTCATCAAAAATTGAATTTTCGACATTGACAGTGAGTGCTGACTGTGTTTTCGAATCCACACGCGTCCTCGTATACTAGATTAAATATTTTCCTATCATCCCGATTCCAAGGGCTCACCCTTCGCATGTTCGCGCTGTCTCGGACATTTTTCAGACCGCCATTCTGGGTTTTAATTAATATAATAATTAATAATAATCCTAATACACCTTTTTACAACTAGTGCTGCCGGCCGTACACGAAATACGGGTGGAAGTCAAAAGTTACACTTAATTTTAGTACAGGATGCGAATACGTTTCCATTAAAAAATTTCGAGTTTTCCACATTTTCTGAACTTCATATTCGATAAAAAAAATTTGACCACCCTGTATAAAAACTGGAAAATTTTCATGTCAAATTCGATAAATTAGGTCTTCCTCTACAAAATGTCCAATTTGTACAAAAAAATAAACCTATATTTCCAGGAAAACTATTTTTGCTCACAGTTCTGCTTCTTTCAATTTTTGCTTAAAAATCAAAATACCTACCTCGGAAACGGTCAATCCTAAGTATGGAGTGTGCTATATGTTATCAACGTAAAAATGGATGCCCTTTCTAAAAATGTAATAATATATAGGGGGTTCCATTTAAAATAAGAAAGTTAGTATCGACTTCCGGTTGCTAGGCCCCACGGTCCGTATCACACCATCACAATTTTAAAAAAATCCTTCGAGCGGTTTCCCAGATATCCATCGATGGAGTTCGTGGTGGGACACCCTGTATAGCAGCACTAACGCCATCTCGTAGTTACTAGAGCTAGTTTTTGTTATAAATTAATGGTACTGATTCCATGGGCAGAATAGCCACAGGGGTCTCACATGCATACTTTTATTTTATTTGTATTATTTTCTATTTTACTGCTGTCCAATGTATACCAGTATCTGCATTGTACCGTTCTTCGTTAAAGTTTTGAGGATGTCGTAACTCATTTGAAATCCTACATTTCCATATTATTTGTACGTGTTGTTGTGCGCGAATTCGTATTTCGTCGTTGTAATTTATGAAATGAGCAGTCTAATAATTCATTACTTCCATTACAAAACTGGAATAAATTACAAAATATTAAACCGGGCTATGCAACTGAACAACAACTATATGAGATAAATCCCCGTAGCTGTGACATATCACGTACGAAACTAAATTCAAGCCATTCGCAGGGAAAAATGCAACTCTCTGGGAGACAATTTGTCAAATTCGTTAAGGTTCGAATTTATTTCCAGTTGAAAGTTGATTACATTTTATTCAGAACTGCAGCAGGATCTCGATGGGCTTAGAGTACGTTTCAGTCGTACGGACCGTTTATCACCTTGTCGAAGGTGTACGGTTCGATGATTTACATCTTGCAAATTCTTCCCCCGTCGATACCGTAAAATATTACACACCCACCTCGGTAGGTCTTACTTTGGAATGCAATAAATGCAGTGGCGGTTCTCGACTTCCATATCAAGGAGGGCGGAAAAATTTAGGTATAAAGTATTGAAAAAATAAATATAATTGGGCAGTTTTATTTTAAGGACTATTGAAATATAGGGAAATTGTGCTCAACATTATTTTTTATAGTGAAAGTCCAGTCTTCTGCTTTTGGAATTTCTCGCATCATTGATTTTTTCAATAGATAACGTTACTATTAGTCTGTCTTTACAATCAATTTAAACTTTTACAATCTTTTAATGGACGCACAAGAAGCAATACGTAGGTAATAAAACATTACACCACACCTGAACAAATTACGTTGAATAAGAAAAGTAGCCTTAATAGTCCAAGCATTATACAGGGTGATTCACAACTTATCCAAAAAAATTTGGGAATAGATGCGGCATGAGAAATGGAGTCAATATTGTAAAAAAAAAATTGTAAAATCCTTATAGTTTCTGAGAAAAAAATTATTGAAGTTATAGCACATTAAACCACTACATAGCTGGACAACTGTAGTCTCTAGCGTCATTCGCAATACGCGTGGAGAGCCATGTGACTCCTAATACTGAAATCCGTCGTTGCGGTAGTTTTTACCTGTTATCTGTGGTAGTTTTTTAGTAGTTATGTGAATGTTTTTCTACGACCTTCTGGTGCCGAGATAATACTTTTTATTTAAAAAAATATGAAAGATTTTGCAAGCGCGAGCCATTTAGACTGTACGTCATTAGTTTTCAGAGCGAGCGCGCGCCGCTTCCCTCTACTTCACTATCCGGTCCAGCTGACGCACTAAGCGCTTGCACGCCTCAGTTTATTACTCAATTACTAATACTAAAAATCAATTAAACATATCCTACTATTTGTTTTTGAAAATATAAGTATTCAATATTAACCTCCATCAAACGCATCGCTGTAAAATGTTAATTTCGTCCCCAATTTTTTTTTTATAAAAAAATTATCTCGGCTTCAGAAGGTCGTAGAAAAAATATATATTTTTTAAATTCGTGAAGCAATTCGTCAGCAATTTCTTTCTTTAAAAGTCATTTCCATAAAATAAAAATTGAAACTTATTTAAAAAAACACCCAAAAAAGTGCAACTTTTTCAGTCATTTTTTTATCCTTAAAATTAATAAAATCGTCAACATTTTTTAATAGGTTGATAATATAACTCTTTACGAAGAAAATAACTTGAAAATCGTTGATGTAGAGCTATCCGCTGAGAAGATCTAGCCAATTTTCGAAAGTACCTTTTTTTAAAAAAATCGATATATTTCGAAAAATAATTAATATTTTAAAATTTTTCAAAAATGTACTTTTTTGTTGGCTTGCCGCGGTCTGTGCTTGCAGTAAATAGCAAGTATGGGAACGTAAATGTAAACGAGTTATAGAAGAAGAGAAAAGAGAAGATTTTTAAGGGTTTTTTCAATATATCTCAAAAAGTAAAAAAGCAATTGATACTTACAAATAATCAGTCGATAGATCTTTTTAAAACCTACAACTTTCTCCTTTAAAATTTTTCAATCGGTGCTATATTTTTTTAGTTATTTTAAGAAAACCGTTTTTTGCAACTTTGCGATTTTTTTTAACTATGTTCTTCATTTTAGATCGAGTTTAAATAACAAGAAACTCGATTTAAAATTTAATTTCCTATACGGTCATATTTTTTTTGTTCAGGTAATAATTTCTGCAAATTTAACATTAGGCCGTGACTGAATACTTGGACTATAAATAGCTATTATTTGATTACAGTTGGACTAAACAAAGCCCAAACTGCATAATAAATATGTCCGACTCCCACTCCGTCTTTCATTGCTGCGCGACGGTAACCATGACCACCGCTGTAAACACTTTATAGATGTAGAGCGAGTTACGAGGAGTCCACGAGTTTTTCAAACAAATTTTGCAAGTGTTACATTTTAAATGATAAATCGGTCTGCTTGAATTTCAACATAATTATTTCTGATTCTCTCAATCATATTCTCAAGGCAGTTTATAAAGTTTGTCTTGGATTAAGATTAAATTTTTATTATGCATATTATTTTCGCATAGAACTTATTTTTGGATATATTCGAAAGTTCCAGGTTAAAAAAATCACCCGATATAAAAATCAACAACTATAATAATTGTATACATTTTTAATGTGTTGAGTTGAGCTTGAGCGTGTGTTCGGAAACGTCATGACCCTACAAAACAACTGTTTTTCCTTTCACAAAAACATTGACGAATCTTTTACAGCCCTATGAAACTCGCGGCATCACTCCAATAAAACTTTTTCGCCCCGTACCGACGAAGGAAACGGCCTCGTGCGCACTTACACTTCTTCTGGCCATTTTTTACCCGCTCGGGATTACCGCGCACTAAATGAAGAGAGCTTTTTATCCCGTTTTATGTTCGGCTTAGACGAAAAAGCGTATAATTTCTTGCTCGCTTACCTGACTCCTGTGCCCAATCTATCAGGGATGACACGCGGGAGGAGAAGCTGGAAAAACAGTTCTCGAAGCGGCCCCTGGCGTCTAATCCGACCGTTTCGAAGTTGGTCTTCACCCCGCACATGAGTGCCGTCGCACAGGCCGACGACTCGCCTATCTGGGCGTCCATATTGTAGGTCTGGAAAAAAAAAGGTTACGCTGAAACTACAGATCTTTGGGAATTTACAACGTTTTTTACCATTTCAATTGAAAATTATTAAACATTTGCACATTTGCAATTAAAAATATTGTATTTTTATTTGTTTTTTACATTACGGTATTTATTGTGAGCCACCCTGTATATGGCATAATATTGCATATACGTTTACCCTAGTATTTCTTGCAAAACTATCAACATGCCATGTCTGGGTCAAATATAGACGACAGTTTCTTTCAAAAATACATATATTCCATTATTAGGTCTCACATGCTATTATTGGATTACACCACTATAATACTCATTAAACAGTTAGAAACAAATCTGTGAAGTTGGATGTTTTTGCATACCTAGATTTTTGCATCGAAGAATGTTGATTGACAATTTGATAGGATTTGTTTGAATTAGCTTTAAAAAGAATAAAAAACTATAGTTAATATTCTAAANATTTTCGAGAGCGCCTTTTTTTCAAAAAATCGATATATCTCGAAAAATAATTAATATTTTTAAATTTTTCAAAAATGTACTTTTTTGGCTTGCCGCAGTCTATGCTTGCAGTAAATAGCAAGTATGGGAACGTAAATGTAAACGAGTTATAGAAGAAGAGAAAAGAGAAGATTTTTAACGGTTTTTTCAATATATCTCGAAAAGTAATAAAGCAATCGATACTTACAAATAATCAGTCGATAGATCTTTTTAAAACCTACAACTTTCTCGTTTAAAATTTCGGTAAAATCAATCGGTGCTATATTTTTTTAGTTATTAAAAAAAAACGTTTTTTGCAACTTTGCGATTTTTTTAACTATGTTCTTTATTTTGGATCGAGTTTAAAGAACAAGAAACTCAATTTAAAATTTAATTTCCTATACGGTCATATTTTTTTTGTTCAGGTAATAATTTCTGCAAATTTAACATTAGGCCGTGACTGAATACTATAAATAGCTATTATTTGGTTACAGTTGGACTAAACAAAGCCCAAACTGCATAATAAATATGGCCGACTCCCACTCCGTCTTTCATTGCTGCACGACGATAACCATGACAACCGCTGTAAACACTTTACAGATGTAGAGCGAGTTAAGCGGAGTCCACGAGTTTTTCAAACAAATTTTGCAAGTGTGAAACAAAAATAATATAAATACATCACTTTCTTTCAAAAATACATATATTCCATTATTAGGTCTCACATGCTATTATTGGATTACACCACTCTAATACTCATTAAACTGTTAGAAAAAAATCTGTGAAGTTGGATGTTTTTTGCATACCTAGATTTTTGGTATCGAATAATGTTGTTTGACTTAATTTGATAGGATTTATTTGAATTAGCTTTAAAAAGAATAAAAAACTATAGTTGATATTCTAAATCAATATATAAAAGAGAATATTAAAAATGTATTCAAGATTTAACTGGATACAACTTGACAATTTTTTTTCTTAATGTTTAGTAAACAGTAGTTTTCTTATTCTCAACTGTAATTTTCTCTAGTCTCGATGTTAGACTTTAATCAATTTCTGTCAGCACAGAATGAAAAACTTCCAAGTTTATAGTTTGCCAATAAATTCACTGTACGTACTATGTCTCTTCCGTTTCAAGCAAAGAAGCTAATAAAGGATCACTGTTATTAGTTGACAAGTGAATACAGAATAAAGTAAGACTAGACTAAACTAGAATTTGTCAGAGGATTGTAATATTATGTATTTGAAACTTGTTGTACATGGCAAGAAATGAAGTTTTGCACGTCTGCAAATGGAAAACCTTTATTATTATTTTATTATACATGTACAATTTTAAATGGGGAATTTTTTTGAGGTAATAGAACGCGTTCTCCAGAATACTGACCTGAAACTATTTTTTTTTTAATTAAATAGATTGTCCAGCTATAATTCGTTTTAACTGCAGTTAAATTTTTGTGTACGCACGCCACTGGACAGTCTGTATAAAACGGACAATAGCAGCGTTGCTTTGGCGAAACTTTGCAACATGTTATTTTACCGTCATCATATTCTTTTTATATCAATATGAACAAAGCGCCGAACACTAATAAAAATTTCAAATAATTTATACTTTTTTCATTATTCACTAATACTTAATGGATGATACATTATTAATTTTAAGTAAAACTAATATATGTTTTGAAGTACATATTTTTTTTGTGTTTAATAAAATGTCCATAATAAAAAATAAATAGAAATACTAATCTGATCTATCTTTAAAATAATTTCAAAATTTTAATAAGTCACTGTTACTATTTATTATATAAAGCACTGTGTTTATTTGTGACTCTCTGTGACAATAACCTCAGATACTGACCTTGTTTAAGTGAACTATACTATAATCACTTTACATATTCCAATGAAGTAAACAAGTGCACAGTCACGGTATTTATTTTAGTATTTAGTGACAGTACGGTGAGTTTGTGTCTTCATGCTTAAATTTCTTGTGATATATATTTACCCGAACTGAAATAGATGAACTTTGTAAACTATGGTTACACTATCCTGTTTAGGGCGGAGTATCGAAATTACGAAATAAGATTTAAAAGAATATGAGAAATACAAATTTATGGTACGCGTTTCTCAAGGTCAAAGGAATTCTCAGTATAAATATGACCCCCATCTAAAGTCACAGGTTGTATAATAGCCGATATTAACTCTATTCATAGAGTATGCGAGTATGTTTCTGACTGAACTGAACGAGTGTTGCCGCTGTTCAATTGTTTCAGATAAACACTGTAAATTATCTGGAAGCTTCGAAACAGGCCCATTGTGTGACTTCTGCGAGACAAACGAATTAGACCACGAGTCGGTAATTCCAGTCAATGTCAATTTGTTTGGCTAACTTGATGAAATTGATATACTTCATGGTTGCGTATGCAAATGGGGAGCAAATGAGCAGGAAAATTTGCATGAAGTATCACGTGCACCGTAACACAGATCGGCAAATTATCGGGAAGAGAATTGGGTCGCAGAAAACATTGAAATTCGCGTTCGAATCATATTTATAGTTACATAGAATTTGCATTAATTTTTTTTTAATATAATTTGCTTTTGAATGCAAAATCATAGTGTTATTTTATGTTATGCATTATGATTATGGTTGGGCATAAGTAATATAAAACGTAGTCCTATGTATATGCATAAAAACAAACAAAATCAAAGCAAAAATTTGTTGTTTATAGCGCTATCCACCAATATATAACTAAATAAAATTTCCATATTCTGTTTTAAATTTTTCATTTAATATCGTCAGTATGCTTTCAGTGTATTGATAATCTCTCATTAGGTACTAGAATCATGTTGCCGTATTATATAACACTTTTCTTGTTTGTGGATCAAGGTACCGGCAAGCGCCATATTGATTCGTGCTCAGCCCAGTTTTTGCGTACAATTAATTGCATTTTGACTGAGATAAATTGTTCGCTAAAATTTTTAAATATGATATAGAAAAACCCACCTAGATTAGATGTCTTTGATAGCATTTCATCTTATATACATTTTTTCTATTTGCCTTTATCATAATTCACCCATTAAATTAATTATTTTTAAAATTAAATTAATTAAATTAAAATAAACCGTTTCGATTTTACTTTTTGTAATGTTTCGAATTTTAAAGCATTAATACAATGCCGTGGAAAGCCCACTTCAGTACAATAATTTTTCATCAAAATAAGTTCGTTTATCTACTGCCGCTCTAAAAAGATGTCCGTTTTCTATTACTTTTTACCTCGAAAAGTGCGTTGTTACTGATCTAGATCGGAAAGTATAGAGACTTCTGTAAAACGACATAAGAGTCAGTAGAATAACTTGACCGAGCTTTTACGTCAAAAGTTGCCGTAAAAACAAAGGAAGTATGTCATAGTTGTCTGTCAGCAGAAGTTTTTAATGTTTGACGCTTATATGTATATAAATAAATAAAGGGGTAGAAAAAAAAAGCAAAATATGTGGATAAGTATAGTCAATTAAAGATAATTAGATATAAGATTCAAATGCGACCGAAGGTTCTGAACAAATAGCCTATATAGTCGCCTCAACCATACAGATGAAATTAGGTAGGTAGATAAATAGAATTGTAGAAAAAATAGTTTTTCTACAAAACTGTTAAAAGTGGGCTTTTTAATTGTCATTTTTGATGTTAAAAATGTCATTTTTTGACACGCGTGTTAAAAGTAAGTTACTTTTAACACTAGTGTTAAAAATTTAATTTTTTTAATTCAGACATAAAACATAAGCTGAAGTCGCTAGACGAAANATTTCAATGTTATCTTTTTTTTTGCATGAAAAACGTTCTCCATAATGTAAACTCCCTTGGGAGCATTATACTCCCTTGGGAATAATCGACTACTTCTGTTTTAATTTTGATGTCATAGAAACTGATTTCTACTCCCGACCGTGAAAAAAACAAATTTACGGTACGCGTTTCTCAAGGCCAAAGGAATTTTCAGTATAAATATGACCCCCTTCTAAAGTCACACGCTGTATAATAGCCGATATTAACTATTCGTAGAGTATGCGAGTATGTTTCTAACTAAACAAAACGAGTGTTGTCGCTGTTCAATTGTTTCAGATAAACGCTGTCAATTATATGGAAGCTTCGAAACAGGCCCATTGTGTGACTTCTGCGAGACAAACGAATTAGACCACGAGTCGGTAATTCCAGTCAATGTCAATTTGTTTGGCTAACTTGATGAAATTGATATACTTCATGGTTGCGTATGCAAATGGGGAGCAAATGAGCAGGAAAATTTGCATGAAGTATCACGTGCACCGTAACACAGATCGGCAAATTATCGGGAGGAGAATTGGGTCGCAGAAAACATTGAAATTCGCGTTCGAATCATATTTATAGTTACATAGAATTTGCATTAATTTTTTTTTAATATAATTTGCTTTTGAATGCAAAATCATAGTGTTATTTTATGTTATGCATTATGATTATGGTTGGGCATAAGTAATATAAAATGTAGTCCTATGTATATGCA